AAAAAATCCTTTTGTGTGTATGATTCTCTGGGCTTACGATGCCTGGCCAGCATGGTTTCATAAATGAGCCAATGGCTGCCTCACTGGATGCGTTTTTCACATGTAGAGCCAGCCTTGCTCAGCTGCGCTCGCTTTGGGGAGTCCAGGCCCTGCAGGGCTGCGCGCGGCGCTGCCCTTGGGGCTGTTGAGGGCTCCAGCGCGGGGCAGGGAGGTGCTGACCCTGCCTGTGAGATCGATCACCCTTTACAGGTGGCAAAACAGACCAGATCTCTGCACTAATCTCTCTTACGATGATTTTTGAAACTTTTAGTGATCTTAATATAATTATGCTACAGTAGCTGTTTTAGTAAAATTTGGAATATTAGCCACAGTGCTTTGCTATTAGCATCGCTCCTTGCCCCCTTTGTAATTTGCTTGTGTTGGGGAGCTGTTAAAGGCTTAGTCAGGTAAACTCTGCTGTCTGTCTAAGGCTCTCTTACGCCTCTCTTATTTTGTTTAATGTTTAGTTATTTGCAGTTAGCTGAATTTTTGCTTGGTTTAAACTTTTATTCTGTTTTCTTATCTTGATATTAACTTGGTTTCTATGGCTCAAGGTAACTGTTAAGATACTTGCATTTTTAGATGTATACAATCTATTTTTCAAAATTTTCTAGTTTTAAATACCACTTTTGGCTAAAACATGCCCACCATAAATAATCAGCAGTGGATAAGCAAAAATATTCAGACACAGTCAAGTCTCAAAATAGCTTTTTCTCCTTCTCTCCCCCCACCATGGAATTGTTCCCTTATTTTATGCACTGAATTTTGATGAGATTTTTTAAGCATAAATGCTACAGCTGAAATCAGGAGAAGTCTGATCCAGTAGTAAAATATTTCTTCTAATCATACACACAGATGCCTTGCTTCCTAGACTATTTAAATGTAGACTGTGGTAAGGACTATTAGATGCAATAAAAGGTATTAATCCTGTATAAACTTGTGGTGAATTAAGTGATTATGATATGCTTTAAAGGAAGAAGCCCATTATTCCATGAACTATGGTTTAGTCTCCCTGGTTGTAGTTCGAGATACTTTGCTTTCAGTTACGAGTTTTTTTCTAAAAAATGAAAGCCACTGGGAATGTTCCACTCTTAATTTAATTAAAAGGCATTAAATTAAAGCAAATATTCCCTCCTTCTCCTCCTCCTTCTCTCTGTAGTATTTGAAACCTATGCAGAATCAGAGACCTGCAAGACCACTGACTGTGAGCACTGGGCTTGTGGTTTTCATTGTTGTTTTTCATCTCAGCTTGTTTAAAAAAAAAAAACTAGTAGTAATGCGTGCCTATTTGAACGTAGTTGACATGGGTTTTGTTGGCCGTGCTCCTCTAACAGGATGACACACACATCCTAGAGCGTAGGTGAAAGAACGATCCACGTGCAACAAGTGTCACCTGAGTTCACCTGGGAGCTGCTGTGGGATGAGCCTTCCTTACTGAACCCTTTCTATTAACGGTGTCGCTGAATACACGTTTGTTCACAGCACAGATTTTCAGTTAACCTTTTGAAAAAGTTTTTTAGCAACATAGGAAAATTATTTTCAGTGTTCTTTGCAAGGCTTAATCATGAGGTTCTGTCACTAAGTAATATATCTTTAGAAGGTGCCGCAGTGCATGCTGATAGTTGGGGAAAGGTCCCTGTTGCTTTTGGAAATACACAACCGGTCCTGACCGAAGTGGTGCTGACCAAAGTGGTGCTGAGTACACTTGCTGTCTCTCCTGGGTACCTGTCTGCATTAGTGTCTGCTGAAGGAGTTCCAGGAAAGGGTTTGGATGGGCAAGGTGAGCTGTGTGTCTCTGCTGTTAAGGATAGCACTAGAGATTTTTTATTTTGAACTCCTGACTCTGAATAGGAGATGCAGCTCCACTGCGTTCGGGCAGCGCGAGCTCCTCCGTAGCCGGCAGGGAGCTGCGCTGCCGTCACGGGGTGAAGCCCCATCGCGGCCCGGCGCCCCCGCCGCGCTCCCTGGGGCTGCCTGCCCTTCCTGGTGCAGGGAGAGCACCCGCAGCCT